TCCAGCATTGCAAAGCAAAAGAACTGGAAATGTAAGCGAAGAATCAGTTGTTAAGGTAATATGTTCTCTTACAGCTACGAAAATCTTTCATCTGAGTCTTTCAAAGCCCTTAGTGCTTAAGGGAGCGTTACATATTCTTTTAGAAAGGTGGCTGTTAAGTATTGTCACATGGAGCAGTCAGGAGATTATGAATGGCTGGTCAAGGATCATGCGATGAAATAATAAGCATTTGCGATTCCTAATGCTGTCCTTAACAATGAGGAATTATCTGTCCTAATGCTCAATATTGGCAGTTGGCCACAGGTTGGTCTCTGGCTGTGGCTGTTGTACAGAAACTTTGTTGGCCAGTTTTATCTTCTGCCTGAAAGAATGAGGAGGGTATGGCTGTTCCTAGAAAATACGAGACTGCACTGGGGAAGAAGGAGATACTGCCTGTTAGTAACTAGACTTTGGTCTTTGCAAAGAGAAGCTCTTCAGGAGATTTGGAGTAGGACACTGTCTTCTTCTTTTCTGTGATCACTTACTCTTCTTCCCAAAATCAAGATACTTTTAGGCCTGATCTGCAAACTCTCTTTTGCACTGCTGGTAGTGCACATGGGCAAGATATTCTTTGCCCAACTACTGTAACCATGGATGTGGACCCAGCCATACCAGCCAGCACAGCAGCAGTTCCTATGTCAGTAGCTTAGTCCGTTCTGTGGACGTGAGTGGGACGCACCCATTGAAGCACTTCTACGTTATTATTGCTGAATTTTCCTTTGGAAGACCATATTGCATAATGTGTAATCCTTCAGTTTTATAAACCAGTGGTGAAGAAGTTTAAACCCTAATATAATGGTGAGAGCTTTCCAAGATGTGGGAAAACTTTAAGACATTTATTGCTGAGATAAAGGGAGGCAGTTTGTTGCTGTGTTTCTGCATGAGAAATGGGTTGCTGTTGCAGTTTAACCCCAAGGTGTTCAGCCATCTCCAGGAAAGCAGGGCTCCATCACACATAACGGTGACTTGGGAGGACAAATACCATCACTCTGAATGTCCCCCGCTTCCTCCTCCTTCCCCCAGCTTTATATGCTGAGCATGACGTCATATGGTGTGGGATATCCCTTTGGTCAGGCGGGGTCAGCTGTCCTGGCTGTGCCCCCCCAGCCTGCTCACTGGTGGGGTGGTGTGAGAAGCAGAAAAGCCTTGACCCTGTGTAAGCCCTGCTCAGCAGTAACGAAAATACCCCTTTGTTATGAACACTGTTTTCAGCACAAATCCAAACATAGCCCCATACCAGCTACCATGAAAAAAATTAACTCTACTCCAGACAAAACCAGCACAGTTGCCCAAAGACTATACTAAGCATGATACAATAACAATGAAGGACTAAGGGGAGCCCACCTCAGCTGCATCTGATGGATCACCTTTTCCTTATGCATCTCTATAGGAGCTTGGGCTGGAGTGTCCTTGAGCCAGTCTCACTCTGCCTATGACCAGAAGGCTACAGGGACTGGCTTTCACCCCACATCCAAATCTGTGACGGGAAGGAAATCTGTGAAGATTCTCTTTGCCAAAAGAAAAAACAGGAGTTACTTTTCCTTTAAAATTTATGTGGGGCCAATGCGGGAAGACATCAGCTTGGAAATGTGTTTGTAGAGCCTCTCAGGCCCTGGCTAGAGGACTTTGTTGGGTTAGCTGAATCAGCAAACCTTCTTTGCGTTGATGCGCATGTCAGTTAACAAAAGATTTTTGCTTGTGTTAAATGCTGTCGGTCCCTGAACAAAATCCCCTGCAACAGCATACTGATTTTTTTTTTTTTTTATTTTTATTATTTTTTTTTTTATGCTTGGGAACTCCTGTCAGAGGCACGTTGCTCTGAGGAGTGCAGATCTTTCTTTCATAGAGGAGAACTTGTAGTTCTGATGGCACATCATTAATGTGTAGATCTGGCTTACCGTGCCCAGTCCGGCTGTCTGCCCACCCTGTGGAGCAGGCTCAGTCTGCAGGCTCGGAATAATGCAGGCAGCTATTTTTTTGGCAATCTCTAAGCAAAGCACTCAGAAATGCCTCACCCTCATGCCACTAGGTGGCACTTTAGGGACATGGCAGTCACTTGGTTTTATTCATTATGCATGAGCTGTATCATCAGAACTAGTTTGTTGTTCGTTGTTTCCACCCCCCCCTCCCGTCAAATGTAACTATTTATTTTTACCACCTGCCCGCTCTAGCCAGCCCCCACCCGACTGGCCGCTGGTCTTTGCCATCCTTGCGTCCTGGCAGCGGGGAGGAGAGGCCAGCCCAGTGGGTACCAGGGCCCTGCAGCACACAGCTGGTATGCTGACAGCCACGTCACAGCACTCGGCTAGTAAAAAATGTCTCTTGCATCAGTAGGAGCTGTGATATCGAACTGTTGGAAATTTTGAAATCTTACCCTTTTTGGCATCAGCACTCCAATTCATATTTGCTTCCACCTGAACACAAAGTTTACACTTTTTTTTCCCTTTTCAGTTCCCTTCAGTTTTAAAAGAGTATTTTCCTGCAATGAGACCATTAAAAAAAAAAAGGGGTGGGGGGGAGTGTTTCTACAAAAGTTTGGGTGTTGTGTCCCCCTCCCAGGTCCTTTATCTTACTGTGTTTTCACTTTTCCTGTGTATTTGCAATTGACATTGCAGAGTACCTGTGTGTTTAGTTACTTCTACACTCTTCGAAAACGTTGGTTCTTGAAAAGCTGCATTTTATCTATACATAAATAACGTTGGGTTTGTCACCTTATCTTTTCGTTCTGTGGAATAAGTTAATATTTCCTTTCTTTTGATGCAAGGTTTACTGTAGACTCCGGCAAGAGTGTGAGCACCAGAAACTGCCCGCCTGGCCAGGTTAGGGGAGTCTGTAGTGCTCCCTGCACAAGAAGGGTCATAAGCGCCGGCTCTCCTTTACCTCTGTCATTGCCCTGTATTGTGCAGCAAAGCTATACCATGAGGACTTTATGGTATATGAATTATGTGGCTGTCTGAAAGATTGTGTTTACTCTTGCTGTCCCTAAGTGAATGGTTTGTCAAAGTGATGTGGTTTGGGCCTAAATTTATCGTATATCTCTGTGGGGTATTTGATCTTCACTATTCCCGAATCATTCATGAAAGCCTCATGGACTTTGGCAGGCTACTGTTACCAGTGCTTAGAGCCTTCATTTCTTTCAAATGTGTAAAACGTGGTTGTAGAAATCAGGGAGGTCATGGGCTATTCAACTTGCTGATAAAGAAGTGCTCTGTTGCATTAAATGGACTTTTAGAGATTTTTGATTTTTGTAGACAGAAAAAAAAAAAGCTTTTTCTATTTCAGTCTCCTGTTTGTACCAGAAATCTACAGTTACAGAAGAAGCACTTCGACCCATGAAAAGCTCTCCAGAATTCAAATGTTATTATCCAAGAGTTACTAAAATCCAAATATTTAAGATATCAATATTCAAATACTGAAAAATTACAAGGTGAATTGCTTTTTTTAACCATCAGATAACACTACAGATGTAGCATGCTTAGAAGAGGGGGAGAGAGAAATCTTGCTGGCCAAAACACCTTTTCCTTCTCTCCTGAGGAATTTCACATGCATTTTAAAAAAAGATTCCAAATCTCCCTCCTTTGTGCATGTGTTTGACACCATACAGTTGGAGAACAGCAGCAACCTGACACAACCACATTTCCCCTGCACCTTTCTGTATAGTTCGTACTGTCTCTGGAAGAAATGGAAGTGGTACGAGAAAGTTCCTCCTTTTTAAATATAGCAAATTCTGTACTTTCTGTCATTTTTGTTTGACTTACAGTTGAGCACTGGGAAACTTGTGACTGCTGTAGAGCTTGTTGGACCTATGCAGGAACAACAGCGGATTAGGTTCTTCAGTGTGTGACAGGTTATTGTTGTTGTTACTGTTATTATGGCTAAAATCCTGGCCCCTTAAAAGGTTTGAGGTTTGCCCTGAACTTGGTTTTAAATGCAAGGTTTCACCTGTGTAGAAATGAGCCTCTTCTGAGGAGGGAGCGGGATGGCAGGTTGCCTCTCCTGCCTGGGGCTGTTGTCAGCATGGCTCCAACTTGGCAGAAGCTGGGAAAGAAAAGAAGAGGCAGTTTGCCAGTGCCAAGCGCCCTCAGCTTCCCGCTCCTGCCTGCCTTCCCTGTCTTGCAGAGACAGCCTGTGCTTTCTGGACAGAAAACAGACGCACCATGTTTATACCGTGTTTGCTGCTGCATGCCCGGGGACAAGGCAGCTCCAAACCTTGCCGCCCTCCCTTAGCTGATGTGCTGTGCCCTGTCTTGGTGAAGCAAATTGAAAGATGTGGGAAGATTTCGGGAGAGGCAAAGCAAGGGATTAACCCTCTGTTTTAATTTGCTGCTTGGTCAGATATGCTGGGGGGGAGGGTGTTTTGCTTAGCCGAAGTGTAGACCTGTGTGGTGAGTGTTTGGCTTCGTTTCTGTTGGAAACGTGAGAAGGGAGGAGGAAAGATTTATTTGACTTTTTTTATGGCTTGTGTTTTCAGTAACTTTACTGGAATTTTTGGTATAATTCAGACTTTCTCACTTCAGCCTTGCAAACTTCAAAGACAGAGGCTTACTCCAATGAATTTTCATCGGTTTCAGGACATAGTAAGGTGACAGGGTGCATCTGAGATCTTTCTAGCTTTTATCCACCTCCCTTAGTCTTTTTTTGAGTATTTAGGCCGTAAGGGTAACTCTAGAAGAAGTTCTGGCTACTAGGTCATTCACATTCAGATACACGGTTCCTAACACTTCACAGAAAAACTTTTCTCTTGTTTTCCGAGCACAATAAAACGCAAGAAAACAGTTTCATTAAAAATCTGCAAAAGACATATGTCATCCATTCAGCTGTCACCCTAGATCTCCATTTCCCCTACTGCTGAATTGTTAAAGTAACTTTTCTTTTGCGTATAATGTTTCCTTTCATTGACTTTATTGTATGTGACTGCTAGTCGTTTTCTGGGTGTAGCAATGACTGGTTTGTTGTTGCAGACAGAGCAACCATCTGAGGTTGAATTACATCCTCAGATGAATAGACCCCCGTCGCAGGCAGAAGAAAACAGTTCAGCAAAAAAGGTGAGACCTGCAAACGTTGTACCACTGTGGAGTGATTTGCCTTCATCAACAAATGTGGTTATTTTAAGTTTTAAAGCAATTAAACAGAGGCTTAGGGTTACATTTTTACATGTTTACCTTCTCTGGAGGTCAAGATGCTAGACAGAGCCAGGATCGGGTGTGACATCGGCTCAGATAAATCATTAAGAAAGCTCTTAGTATGTACACATTGATGCATGTGCTTTAAGAGAGGCAGCTTGCCATTTGTTTCAAATCGATAGGGGCTTGTGGAGCCTTAGGGAAGACAAAAAAAGAGTTTGATTTTACTCAAACCCTGTCTTGCTCTAATTCTTCTAAATTGTAATGGAATTCTTGTTTCCAGTCAGTGAGGGTTTGGTTTAGATGTAAACACACCTGTTGCTAGAGGTGAGGATCTCCCACTAAATGTACATAGACTGGGAGAGGTTCTCTCAAGATGTGCAGTTTCTAATATGTTTTTGTAGGAACATGTCATTTGTATAAAGTAAGCACCGAAATGGCGATGGCAGTCTTCAGAGGGCCACGCTTAGGGACAGAGTGGCCTTAGCAGTGGCTGTGAGCATTTCCCTACTCCTGGTCACACTCCCACTGCCTCCTTCCACCAGCCCCAGCCAGAGCAGGTTTTGATGGAGGACAAATGCAGATCCTCCCTGCTCCAGCCCCTCCCGCAGCCAGAGGGCACCTGCAAGACCTTTGCTTAGCCCAACCAAGAACTGTTGGCAGATGCTGTATGTAGTAGGTACCTTGCCCAGGGAGCATCATCACACTTCTTACCTTAACCGGAGGCACAGACAAATGTTTGGTGTTGTTCCCTATACATGATAGGGATTTCTAGGCAGCGTCACTGCTCCGCTTGTACTCACCGCTTGCTATTTCTAGCCTGGCCCTGCCTTTTCCTTGCTCTGCTTTGCAGCCTTGCTGGGGAAATGAAATCCCTTGTGGTCTACCTACTTCATGCTCACCCTTGTCCCACCTGGATCCCTAAAATACAGAGAAGCCCCAGGCTGTGGGGCACAGAAGCAGGTTGTTGGCACAGTGGTGACCCACCTTCCAAAGCCTGGTGCAATGGCAGCCAGCCAAAGAGCTCCCTGCAGAGGGCTCTGCTTTTAGGTATCGGATCATTTCTGTCGGTATTGCATTTGAAATGGAAAAGGGATTTATCCTATGGATTTGGTAGGTTTGGGGCAGTTTAAGGTAGACTGGGATGGTGCATTTGGCATCCCACCAGTTTATAGTTGTAGAAGGCATTGCTGTACATCATATATTTGCAGGGAGCCACACATATGCGTAGGATTTCAGAGCACGGTATTATCTGAGATCTGTGCAGTGCTGATGTGCTGGTGTCCTGATCAAAAGATCTCATTTTTAGATTTTTTTTTTTTCAGTAACGACTGAACTGGTTTTTAATGTTGAAACCCCTTGTTTCCTTATAATTCTAATTCCTCTAATAGTTGTAATCGTTCTAATACTAATTATTAATGATCTTACGTTGATTTCATTCTGTATAGCTCATAGTCTCTTCTGCTGAATCAGGATGCTTACTACAGCATTGGGTTTTTTCCTTGTGATTTCTGGGTCATTAAATGCTTCCTCATTAAAATTTTCCTTTTTAAATTTTTTTTTTCTTCTTTTATTAGCATTTGGCCAAAACACAGTAAAATGTGCACTGTGCAAGTGATAATAAAATTTGGTCTACAGTCTTGGCTGTGACACTAAATGTATTACCTTTGTCAAGTCCCATGGTCTCCCTGTTAAGTCACATCATCTCCCTTCTCTAGAAGGGTCTAGAGAAACAAGTCCTATGAGGAGCAGCTGAGGGAACTGGGGTTGTTCAGCCTGGAGGAAGGGAGGCTGAGGGGAGACCTTATCGCTCTCTACAGCTGCCTGAGAGGAGGTTGTAGTGAGGTGGGGGTCTATCTCTTCTCCCAAGTACACAAGCGATAAGATGGGAGGAAACGGCCTCAGGTTACGCCAGGGGAGGTTTAGGTTGGACATTAGGAAACATTTCTTTACTGAAGGAGTGGTCAAGCACTGGAACAGGCTGCCCAGGGAGATGGCCGAGTCCCCATCCCTGGAGGTATTTAAAAGACATGTAGATGAGGCACTTAGTGATGTGGTTTAGTGGGGGACTTGGCAGTGCTAGGTTAACAGTTGGACTGGATGATCTTAAAGGCCTTTTCCAACCTAAATGGTTCTATTATCTTTTTGAGTCTTAGCTTTCTCATTCATGAAATGGGGTAGTAATAGTTATATCCCTTGTAAAAGAGATCTAATAATAAAATACACTGAAAAGGAGATATTTATATTTCAGATTTAAAACAGCTATAAGGCATTAAAACTACGTGTTATTGCAAAAGAAAAAATGACTTAATTTAAAATAATGAAAACACTTCTTACCACTGAAGTCATAAAAATCCAAGACTCTTTGTTTTACCTACAAACCAGACTATTTCTTTGATGTAGCTTATCAAGAGAAATAACTGGTCTCCTACACGTCGAACATGTTAATTTTGCATGGATAATTTTACACATTTGTTTTTCTAAGCTATATTCAGTGTTCCTTCATGTAAGAGAGGAGGGGAGAAGGGAGAGACTCCATGCCAGATGGGTGAGGTAGTAAGTTGGGATGAAAGTGGTTCATTATTGATTCTTACTGACTGAGCATAATAAAAAGTAAATCTTGTTTTGATTTTAATGCTTTTGGGTCAATTTGGGGCTAGTATATGTATTTATACCCCTCCCTCTCTGCC